ACCTGGGGTCACCTAAAAATAAGCTTCGATGGTATCCCCAACAGCCGCAGCATTTTATTTTGACAAATCTTTCTAAAGCCTGCTGCGAAGCCAAGCGCTGGAAACACCTCAGCTGGGTTTCCGTGAGTTATATAAAGGCTGCAAATCTTGACCTGGCAGTCTGCACCAAAGCCTCCCAGACCTTCTCCGGAACCTTCTCCGGAACCCTGTTGAGTCTGACCTCGCTCTGCACCAAAGCCTCCCGGAACCCTGTTGAACCTGACCTGGCCGTGCACCAAAGCCTCCCAGAAATATGCTGAAATGTATGCTTTGCAGGGGGTACCAACGACTACCTTAGCAAGATGTATAAAATCCGTTTTCCAAAAATGATGTGCTTTTCGTCTACCCAACCCCCCCAAAATACTTTTTCAAAGAAGGGTATTCCCCAGAAACAAAATGTGACATTCCCGAAGATCCTTGAAAAACCAAACCCGTAAAATGTATGAAACAACCCCCCAAAATAAAAGATCCTGGTCCGGACCCATGGATCCTATATTTTTCGGACACCCCCCTCAAATAATGTATTTAGGGGGGGCCCTGGGGAATCAATTTTTGGAAGACGATAAATGTATTTTTTTTTCCTAACCTCTCCCCCCTTAAATTCAGTTTTAGGGGTGGGTGATAGAGAACGTACAATAGCGTAGCATGATGTACACCTGGAAGTCCAAGAGAACGAACGGTAGCGTAGCATGACGGATGTGTGGAAGTCCAAGAGAACGTCCAGTAGCGTAGCATGACAGATGTGTGGATGTCCAAGACAACGTCCAGTAGCGTGGCATGACGTACGCGTGGAAGTCCAAGAGAATGTACAGTAGTGTAGCATGACGTATGTGTGAGAGAGCCAGTGACGTTATTATCCCACCCCACCCTACCCCAGCCCACCCCCCACCCATGAATACATACCCCAACCGACAGCCACAGCGTAGCACTTCATGTGCGAGGTCTTTCACGTACTCTTGAATCTCTCCGCAAATTGCGAAGTGGAGGTCATCCAGAAACTCCGCGATCTCCACTAGGCCCCCCCCAATATGTGCATGTAATGCTCATAAGAGATGCCGATGTGCGAAGGTTCACCATAATCCACTGCATAATCTCAAGGTCGCCTTTGAAGGTCAGGGCATGCTCCAATTCCTCCATGCGTTTGCGATAGGTTGTGGGTCGGGGCACCATAGGACCTAGACGGTCCCAGGGGATGTTATCCCCTATTTGATACTGCCCGGGAGGCGCTGCTGGGCCATCTCCAGGACCAATCAACTCGTTCCAATGGCCCCAACCGCTGCGATCATTTCCTCCACGCGACATGGCTGACCCTACACTAACACTACTTAAGTTCACATGAACGTTAATATATGCCCCACCCCACCCCACCCCAACAAAACACAACGGCCGTCTAAAGGCCGTGGTCCAACTATATTACTCCCAGGTAAACTAACATAGCCATGGAAAATATCCATGGTTTTGTAGGTACATCATTGAACTAAACGTTCCATTTTCCATAAATGTGTTAGTTTAGGGTATATCTACCACAAACATCCACAAACCCTGGTGAAATATGATTTATACATACCAACATCATGTCACATAGCTCACGAACTGGGGCCCAACCAACTATGAATATGTTGTATATATAGCAATATTCCAAAAATAGAAACACAAATTGGTCACTATCTTATTAGGATTTTGCTTGTGAATCTTTTTGAAACTTACCATCCATCCATCCATCTATCCGTTGGCCGTAGGTCTCCTGACCTTCTTCTGCTGTGGTTTTCTGGCTGTCTTGGTCTCCTTCAGGGCAGAGTGGATCCCCAAAGAAGAGGCAGATCTACCTATATACCCTGGTAGGGGAAAAAACGAAGCTTGACCTTGTTGAGTGGATGAGAAATGATGAGAATTCCAGGGATTTAAGCATCAGAAGTTGTGAAAAAAACTGATTTAACAGCTAAATAGGATTTCAGTTTATGTAAGCAATGAATAATGGATGCAGGTGTGTCTGATACAGTTGTATACCTCCAATACCTGGCTTTGTCAATGGGAAAATGATGAAACACTGCCAAATTAGGGGTAGCCTATTTTCAGACAAATTCAGATGGATTTCTTCTATTTAGTTTTCATCACTTTAGGGAATCTCGGAGAGTTACAAGTAGCAACGCCAATGCTCCATGCCTCATTTCTGCGAATGGCAGCTTGAAAATACTACTGTATTGATCCTGTACCTAAAAAAACAGAATATATCAAACTATGTATAGTATTATCTTTTTGAGACATAATACCGGTAGGTTTCTTTTCATGTACATACCGATATTGATTTGGGTTTTTCCATAACATCCCTCCTCCGCCATAATCGACGCTCGCAAGGAGACCCGGGGTGTTGCGGGTGCTGTAGCCTGGGTGAAACATGGGAAACTGCGACAGGTGTTTTTTGTTTAACGCCCGACCCAATTGACAGGGAGCAATCCCAAAAAAGGATGTTAATTTTGGACAATTTTGGTAAATAAGGGGGTAAGATGATCAATTTTTCCCCCGTGCGGATGATACTTTTAGCCAATACTTATCAATGGTTGGTGGCTTCACCGCGGAAAATTTCAACCTATGAGTAATTTAGGATCTTCATCCGGTTGAAAAGGAAACACATCGTTGAAACTTAAGGTGCTCTGGGCATTCCCAAGTGGGTCAACATATGGCTACCATGTCGATTCTAGATGTTCAGAGTCTGAGTTTGGCCCACATCCCAGCAGTGACTTTACCTGTTGTATTTCCGGTAACAGCTTCCAAGGGCATGATTCCCTGATTGCACAACGAGAATCATTGAATAATCCCCTGAAAGCATCTGCAAAATAACCTATGTATATTATGTATATATATAATATTATATATATAATGTGTATATATATATATAATTATATATATATATACAACCATCATCAACCAACAAAAAACGTTGTGTATTGCACAAGATGACCAAATCTTTGCACGAAAGACCGCAAGGTGGGGACCTTTTTCGGTTATGTTTGTTGCTTTATTTATATTAATATACACCCAAGTAGCAATTTTGAGATGTAGTTTGACATATTAAAAATCTTAGATCCAGCAGTTATGTCATTTCTACTGGAACAAAATGCAGAACACATTTTGGGGCACCATGTAACCACAAGCCTTGCCTGAGGTCCCCCACCAAGTTCACAAAGGTTCGTGCGCCCAGAAAGAGCAGCAGCAAACTGCACAGCCCGGTGCTCCTTCACAGTGGCCACGGAAATGCCCGGAGACTTGGTCTGACATGGTCTGACTTGGTGGCAAAATTCAGGAACTTGGACTGGCAGCCACTGGCTTCACGGCATTGTTGCTGCTGGGTCAGGATTTCCCGAGGTGATCCCGATGATCTACCACGAACTGGTCACGAAATTCTCGATGAATACCAGAAATGAACAACGAATTGCACACCTGATCGAATTTGGCCCATGACAAGAACATACAAAAACCATCAAGAATGGCTAGTTTATGCTAGTCTCAGAGTCTGAGTGCAAGCGCACAACTTCAGGGATCACAGCATGCGGGCCCTGTCGGCCCCCAGTCTCCTACGCACAGCCATGCCGGATCGATGTCTCTCGTCGAAGCTAGAGCTGTTGTGAGCCAGTGAAGCTACAGCTGCAATGACAAGTGTCACGCGGTTCCAAGCGCTTCGAACCCAATGGGACATAATAATGATGATATATAATGGGCATGGTGCTTTGATAATGGGGATATAGTTGGATATCATGGGGCGCCCAGTGGGATAACCAACCATGATGGGAAGATCATGGGATTTTCCACAAAATGAAGACGACACAGGCCGATCTTGGCAACCCAGGACCCCAGGACCCTGTCAGGTAGCATTTTTCCCGACATCAAACTTAATATCTGAGACAAAGTTTACAACACCTAGGAGGTATATATGTGAAAAACACATATCCTTACCCCTATAGGAAAATGGGCCATTTATAGATGATTGGCCTATAAATATTGTTGATGTGCCAAAGTTAAATTACCAGAGGGTACCCCATGTAAACGTATTTACAGATTTGGGAATATATCTATTATATAATGTTGTATAGCACATTTTGTTGAGGCCATCTCAGAAATGGGCTCTGGGTAAACTCAAGTAGATGTGGAAAACCCATTGTTTCCCTGGAAAGATGATCTACATTCATGGTATGCTGTTTTACTGGAATACACCCAATTGCGATAAAATGACACATTATTAGGAGAAGCTTGAAATTCTGGGTCGCCGTGGCCACATCAAGCAGTTCAAACTTTGTTTTCTCTTTATACTGGTTGGATGAGAACGGGATTCCCACTACTGGTGATAAGTATCTCCAATAAACATCAAAAAAATAGAAATAACTTGACGACCCAGCTAAAGCTTATTCAAAATATATCAGAATCCCCTACTCTCTGATGTAAATTTATGTAAATATACTATATATATTATATATAATTTATATACAGTAACATTTTGCTATGGAAAATGAACCATTTCTAGATGAATTATGATGATTTACCTGCAAAAAATAGTGATTTTCGAGTTCGCTACGTTAGTCATTGCCAGCGGGTATCAGAACCAACCATTCAAAGTCTTGGCACAAAGTCTTCTGTTGGATTTGTCTGAAAATATATGGGAAACCACCAAAATTTACTGCTTCATCATCCATTTCCGTATCAAGACTGCCATGAATTGGCATATATACATATATATACTACCCATTTTCAGACACACAAATCCGAGATTCCTGGCTGAACATGCTTAAATATGGATAACAATGTATGGGTATGGGTCAAAATTAGGTACCCCAAAATTATGGATGGTTAATACTCAACTAGACATTCACATCTGTGGTCCCCTTAACGGTCTTCCATTTTGACCCACATCCGTATAACGATTGGCATAAATCCCAATGTTTGATGCTTAACCCACCAGGAAATGGGATGGTTTTCCTCAGCTGCGGCTCAACTGCAGGTAGGAGGCGAAAGCACCCGTAACAGCTGCAGCGACCTTCCAAACAGACTGGCTATACCACCTGTGGTAACCAAAATCATTTCTTTTAGGGAAAAAATAGAGGGCCATTCCTAGTGGTACAAGTAGTATATTAGAGTTTTTTCGTGTACCTCTTGGTTAATTGGGGAAGCCTCTAAGAACCAACCAGTTGTTCAAAAGGATGGCGAATCAATGGGAATAACAAGTTTACCATGGTCAAGTTACAAGGGATTGCACTCTCGGTATCCATACTTCCTCAAACAGTGTGGCCACACTGAGGGGTTCTTACGGCAACAGTTAAGGCCCGGTGGTTAATCGAGGTGGTAGCCGGCGTGTCCGGCATTTTCCCTGTATTTTTTTGCACACAATGGCTCTTGTGAAATGTCCATGTGCATTTCAACTGCGCAGGTTCGCACAAAACGATATCCCCGGAGGTGTCCGCGGCCATTTTTCCTCTAAATTTCCATACAAAATGGCTCTGGTGAAATGTCCGTGTGCATTTCAACTGCGCAGGCTGGCACAAACCAGGTGTCGCGGGATTAGCGGCCGGTATTTTCCCTGTAAATTTCTGGACAAAAGCTCTTGTGCAATGTTCATGTGTATTTCGACTGCGCAGGCTCGCACAAAGTGTGCTTCCCGGTCTTGGGATCGGTCTTCCTCCTCAACATCATGCTCCTCAACATCATCATCGCCATCGCCATCGTCATCGTCATCGTCATCATCATCATCAACATCATCATCATCATCATCATCATCATCATCATCATCATCTCATCATCATCATCATCATCATCATCATCATCGAAATCATCATCATCCATCATCCATCATGCATCATACAACATCATCATCATCACCATCACCATCACCATCATCATCATCATCATCATCCATCATTCATCATTCATCATCCATCATCCATCATCCATCATGCATCATACAACATCATCATCATCACCATCACCATCATCATCATCATCATCATCATAATCATCATCATCATCGGCATCATCATCATCATCATCATCATCATCATCATCATCATCATCATCATCATCATCATCATCATCATCATCCTCATCCTCATCCTCATCCTCATGCATCCATCATCATCAACAACACCATCCCCATTAACATTATCATCGCTATTAAGATCATCATCAGCATTGTAATACATTATCCTTTCGCTCCCCCACCACTTTTTGGGGTCTCTTGCCGGGATATATACATTTTTTATGTGAAAGGCCTACGATTTGGGGGGTGACCATCTTCCAATATGGGGATATCATCTGTCGTCCGTTTCCTATTAGGGGGCTTACAGTACCTGTAGATGCTGACAGAATGCGCGAACGTTGCCAGAATGAGCCAGGAAGCTGTGTAGTTTACATCGATTATACTATACTTATAGTAAATTATAGTGTGTTACTAGAAATTACCATTTACTCACTTCCAGTTCAAAGCGCTATTTTTGTTTTCAGCAAATATCAGATGTTTGTTTTTTTCCCTAAAGGCAGTTATGAGAGTGATTACATTGTGTTTGTGACTATGTGATATGATTATATTCAGATCGGATTAGAATGTCATTTTCTCTAATCGTTCCAAAGAGTGGGTATATTGCATGTAATAATTATGTAATACATATGATCACCACATGAAATAATCCACCTCTATTGGATATACACACGCAGTACTGTCAAAATATAGGAACATTTCCTGGAAGCATTTAGCGTAGCTATATAGAAGCCATGGCCCTGGTAGTTCGATGATTTATCATGATTTAGGTGATTTTCCATAGCTACTTTACATTACCAGAAGGTATGTTAGGTGATTTGGGGGTGGGTCAAAACCTATTGCTATCAATTTGAGTGGGATGAAGATCTATTTACTAGCTATTTGAAGGTTCACTAGGTACCAGGGTTTTGACCCATAGCCATTTCCTTAAATGGGGTGTACCCCCCCAAATCATGCAAGTCATTAGACCCTGGAAAGTTGAAACATATTGAAACTTATTTTTTTGACTTGTGGATCCCCATGACTTAGGAACCCCCCCATCTACCTTCTGGTACTTTGAAGTAGATATCGAAAATTGCCTTATTCAGAAACAATAATTACTGGAAATCAGCATAAATCATCGAACTAAATGGAAACCTGATTTTCAAGATCCCCTTCCAAGGGCCCTTTTGTCACCCGCACACGCCGCACACGCCTCACCATCCTGCACATATCTCCCCGCAAAGCCCCGCAAGGCTTGATCTGCACCCGCCTCTGCCAGAGAACCACGTGGAGACATGTTTAGTGTTTCGGGGTGAAAACATGGGACACTTGATCGAGCAAAGATAGATAGGGAACACCTCCAATTTTTTGGATTGGTATCACATTCATATATATATATATATATATTACACTTATTTAATTAATCTTATTTAGCCGTTTAGCCTGAAGCTTTTGGCAATCACCTCTAATTTCGGTATTGCAAAGGGGGGTGAATTACACTGGGCCTTTCTTAGGTGGACAACAATGAGATTCAATCAAAATAAGTTGAACTTCATCAACCAAGATTAGATGATTAGCACCTAATATTAAATTATATAGTTAGTGTATGTTAGTGTATGATAGTGTGGCATTGGGTCAAATCCACTACTCCAAAGACAACGAACACAACAAATTATTTTTCACCCACACAATCCGGAATCTGACAGCCAGAAAATTGGGATTCAACAAACCAACATGCGATTTCAAACAACACACATGTGGCTTTTCAACCAACACACATGTACTATGTACACAAACTGGTAATTTATTGGAGGAATTTCCGCTTGGTAACTATTTTTTTTGTGACCCTCGTTAGCAAGTCCCCCAACCGGGTTAATCCATCAATAGGTAACTACGGTTCTTAACCACAGCAGCGAGCAGTGGGATGATCCAAGTTGAACGGGATCTGACCGATCTGACCAACCCAAATGCTCCATATATTGTATACTGTACTATAGTTGTTCTACTTGCATGACTACAGTAATTTGCTTTTCTGGTAAATGGTGTTTATTGTTCCATTCCTGTATATTACATATATACAACATTCTACAACGCGTTCGGGAACTGTACATGATGCTTTTTGCAAGAGATGTATATGTTATGAACTATAAATTTCATGACATGAACAAAAACAATATATAATGCTATCAATACATCATATGCACAATGTAAACAAGGGTGCAAATCATTTATATCGGATAGTAACTCGGGACTCTTATCATCTAATTTTAAACATGCAGTCTTGTGGAAGTCTAGCCTCCCAATACACCACAATCATTGGAGCTTTCAACACTGCTCGAGTTTTTAAAAGGAGTTAGTTCTCGACAGAGCAACCACACAAACCGCTGCAGAGATCGCAAAACACCTTTGCAAATGCTTTGGCGTTCCTGCAGCCGCATTCTGCCAACATGGGAGAGTCAAATTCCGTTGAAGTCTGGAAATGGGGTTCCCATCAAATCCCATGGTCAAACAAATCGCTATTTATTTGGTAGACTCAGCACCTAAACCTTTCCCGAAATTACCATATATGTGGTAAAAGGCATCCGCAATGGTTGGTTTAGTATTGAGATCTATTGAGTTTACCACATCAGACATGATCAGTCTATATTTTGTGGGTAGGATGTATCCGGTGCTCATTTCCCAATTAGGATCCTGCCCAGCTGTGCATCTTCCTAGTCGCTCATGGGGTCTCCAAAAAATGGTGATATTCCTACAGGATCGGTGAATGTGAACTTGTAAAACCATCTCACCATTTCTGGCATATCAGCCGTTCAAATCGTTCAAAAGATCTGTTGTGAGGCATTGTCAGCCCACCTTTCACAGGGACTTCAGAACTTGAATTCCATACTTCAAGGGGTGGAATAACATGATGACTTTCGCCAGTCTCAAGCGGAAAAACACAAAGGTGGTGAAATCCCATACGAGTCGAATCGAATACCTGGGAATATCCCATCAATGGGTGAACTCCATTGAACTACGCGAACTTGGTGGCTCATCTCATCAAAGATCAGGGCAAGTCGGGTTAGAGGTTTCCACTGCTCGGAACTGGTTAGTAACCATAGACTAAAACCCCTGGGTGGGATCCGATCGTTAGCATGATGGGATTAGTATATTAGAGGATACCCCTGCTCGTTTTTTCATATCCCATAGGATCCATGATGCTGCTATATATGGTAACATGGATCCCATCAATATACCCCCTTTATGTTAGCATATATACCAGCACCATGGATCCGTCATGGGTATTATATGTAGCGCTTAACTCACAAAAGGGGGGACTTAGCCACACTCCTCTGGTGGTTGCTGGCAGCTCCAGTGATGACATGACCTCACAAAGGCAGAGGGACCCTCAAAAAATCGTTTCTTTTTTTGGAACTATCTGTTAGTAATATCATAGTTCATTGTTAAGTCTAGTAATATATGTATTTATATAATTATATATAATTATATATAATTAAATATAATTATAGTCATTGTCGGCCAGTAAGCAGACGTTCGGCCACGCCCGGTGGTTAGCAGATCCCAACATTGGGGGTTCACAGTAACCGGCACTGAAATGTATTTCTGCTTACTGCCCCCCCTAACACCCGAAAAGGAAATCTGCTTACTGGGGGGTGTCCCGGGGTCCCAAGTCAAACCTGGCCGTGATGGAGCACTGGAAAGATCTTTTTTTCACGAAATGATGGTTCCCTGTCCAAATATTGTACAAATCCAAGGACATGTTTACCTCGGTTCCTGCAGGGCAATGATATTCTGGATCCATACCTGGTGATCCTGTGTGCATTGAGCAGACCCACATGGCATATTTTGCAGGTTGGCAGGCATAGAAGGCACAAGTGACAAATTGTTACTTTTTTTAAAGAAGGTGGTTCCCTCCACGCCCTGCATTCTCCCACAGTCTGATCAAATACTGCTCCCGCTAGAAAACAAAAGGGATTATATATTATATCCAAGAGAAATTAAACTTCCACAAGTTTTACAAACTGGTTGGGGGCGATACTCTGTGGCTGGAGGAAAAACAAATTAGCCCAGGGCCAAGATTGGAATGATGACATTGCAACAAGTACCCCCAGAAAGCAAATTCTATAAATTTGGCTTGCTGCAGCTCTGTGGGGGGAGGAAAAACCACATACCCAGTGCAATTAAATTGGCTGTTTCCTTTACTGATGGGGGTGGAGGTGATTAGCCCAGAGCCAACATTAGAATCATGACATTGCGGGATGCACCCCCAGTAAGCAGATTCTATGAAATCTGCGTACTGCAGCTCGGTCATTTTCATGTGGCTGGCTGGATTTTGAACTACTGACCCACATGGCGTAGTAGCAGGTTAGCAAGTAGAGTAGGCAGAAATGACACAAAATTGGAGGAATTATGGTGCAAGGGTATTCATTTCGTGCAATTTTTGGGCAAGATACGTGTACGAAATGAAAAACACTGGGTAAAAAACACGGAAAAACATTCGACCAGTAAAAAAGGCGAGCCCCTCAAACTGATCAATCTCTTAATTACTATTTTTGAGAAAGAAAACTTGGTTTGAGAAGGTCACAAAGGGTTCCCCCCCTGCGTCCTCCCACAGTCTGATCAACTACTGAAATACTGCTCCTGCTAGAAAACAAAATTCAATAGAGTTAAACAATAAAAATAATTAAACACTATTTATCTTCCACAAGTTCTACAAACTGGTTGGGGGACTACAATCTGCGCGGGGGGAAAAACCACATACCCAGTGCAATTAAATTGGCTGTTTCCTTTACTGATGGGGGTGGAGGTGATTAGCCCAGAGCCAAGATTAGAATCATGACATTGCGAGATGCACCCCCAGTAAGCAGATTCTATGAAATCTGCTTACTGCAGCTCGGTCATTTTCATGTGGCTGGCTGGATTTTGAACTACTGACCCACATGGCGTAGTAGCAGGTTAGCAAGTAGAGCAGGCAGAAATGACAAAATTGGAGGAATTATGGTGCAAAGGGTATTCATTCCGTGCAATTTTTGGGCAAGATACGTGTACGAAATGAAAAACACTGGGTAAAAACACGGAAAAACATTCGAACAGTAAAAAAGGCGAGTCCCTCAAACTGATTAATCTCTTAATTACTATTTTTGAAAAAGAAAACCTGGTTTTAGAAGGTCACAAAGTGTCCCCCCCCACACCCTGCGTCCTCCCACAGTCTGATCAAATACTCAAATACTGAAATACTGCTCCTGCTAGAAAACAAAATTCAATATAGTTAAACAATAAATAATTAAACAATATTTATCTTCCATAAGTTCTACAAACTGGCTGGGGGACTACAATCTGCGCGGGGGGAAAAACCACATACCCAGTCCAATTAAATTGGCTGTTTCCTTTACTGATGGGGGTGGAGGTGATTAGCCCAGAGCCAAGATTAGAATCATGACATTGCGAGATGCACCCCCAGTAAGCAGATTCTATGAAATCTGCTTACTGCAGCTCGGTCATTTTCATGTGGCTGGCTGGATTTTGAACTACCGACCCACATGGCGTAGTAGCAGGTTAGCAAGTAGAGTAGGCAGAAATGACAAAATTGGAGGAATTATGGTGCAAAGGGTATTCATTCCGTGCAATTTTTGGGCAAGATACGTGTACGAAATGAAAAACACTGGGTAAAAACACGGAAAAACATTCGACTAGTAAAAAAGGCGAGTCCCTCAAACCGATTAATCTCTTAAATACTATTTCTGAAAAAGAAAACCTGGTTTTAGAAGGTCACAAAGTGTCCCCCCCCACACCCTGCGTCCTCCCACAGTCTGATCAAATACTGAAATACTGCTCCTGCTAGAAAACAAAATTCAATATAGTTAAACAATAAATATAATTAAACAATATTTATCTTCCACAAGTTCTACAAACTGGCTGGGGGACTACAATCTGCGCGGGGGGGGAAACCACATACCCAGTGCAATCATTTCTTTTGTTCCTTTACTGATGGGGGTGGAGGTGATTAGCCCAGAGCCAACATTAGAATCATGACATTGCGGGATGCACCCCCAGTAAGCAGATTCTATGAAATCTGCTTACTGCAGCTCGGTCATTTTCATGTGGCTGGCTGGATTTTGAACTACCGACCCACATGGCGTAGTAGCAGGTTAGCAAGTAGAGTAGGCAGAAATGACAAAATTGGAGGAATTATGGTGCAAAGGGTATTCATTCCGTGCAATTTTTGGGCAAGATACGTGTAGGAAATGAAAAACACTGGGTAAAAACACGGAAACACATTCGACTAGTAAAAAAGGCGAGTCCCTCAAACCGATTAATCTCTTAAATACTATTTCTGAAAAAGAAAACCTGGTTTTAGAAGGTCACAAAGTGTCCCCCCCCACACCCTGCGTCCTCCCACAATCTGATCAAATACTGAAATACTGCTCCTGCTAGAAAACAAAATTCAATATAGTTAAACAATAAATAAAAATTAAACAATATTTATCTGCCACAAGATCTACAAACTGGTTGGGGGACTACAATCTGCGCGGGGGGGAAAACCACATACCCAGTGCAATCATTTCTTTTGTTCCTTTACTGATGGGGGTGGAGGTGATTAGCCCAGAGCCAACATTAGAATCATGACATTGCGAGATGCACCCCCAGTAAGCAGATTCTATGACATCTGCTTACTGCAGCTCGGTCATTTTCATGTGGCTGGCTGGATTTTGAACTACTGACCCACATGGCGTAGTAGCAGGTTAGCAAGTAGAGTAGGCAGAAATGACAAAATTGGAGGAATTTTGGTGCAAAGGGTATTCATTCCGTGCAATTTTTGGGCAAGATACGTGTACGAAATGAAAAACACTTGGTAAAAACACGGAAAAACATTCGACTAGTAAAAAAGGCGAATCCCTCAAACTGATTAATCTCTTAAATACTATTTCTGAAAAAGAAAACCTGGTTTTAGAAGGTCACAAAGTGTTCCCCCCACACCCTGCGTCCTCCCACAGTCTGATCAAATACTGAAATACTGCTCCTGCTAGAAAACAAAATTCAATATAGCTAAACAATAAATATACAGTAATTAAACAATATTTATCTTCCACAAGTTCTACAAACTGGCTGGGGGACTACAATCTGCGCGGGGGGAAAACCACATACACAGTGCAATCATTTCTTTTGTTCCTTTACTGATGGGGGTGGAGGTGATTAGCCCAGAGCCAACATTAGAATCATGACATTGCGAGATACACCCCCAGTAAGCAGATTCTATGAAATCTGCTTACTGCAGCTCGGTCATTTTCATGTGGCCGGCTGGATTTTGAACTATTGACCCACATGGCGTAGTAGCAGGTTAGCAAGTAGAGTAGGCAGAAATGACAAAATTGGAGGAATTATGGTGCAAAGGGTATTCATTCCGTGCAATTTTTGGGCAAGATACGTGTAGGAAATGAAAAACACTGGGTAAAAACACGGAAAACATTCGACGAGTAAAAAAGGCGACTCCCTCAAACTGATCAATCTCTTAATTACTATTTTTGAAAAAGAAAACTTGGTTTGAGAAGGTCACAAAGGGTTCCCCCCACACCCTGCGTCCTCCCACAGTCTGATCAAATACTCAAATACTGAAATACTGCTCCTGCTAGCAAACAAAATTCAATATAGTTAAACAATAAATATAATTAAACAATATTTATCTTCCACAAGTTCTACAAACTGGCTGGGGGACTACAATCTGCGCGGGGGGAAAAACCACATACCCAGTGCAATCATTTCTTTTGTTCCTTTACTGATGGGGGCGGAGGTGATTAGCCCAGAGCCAAGATTAGAATCATGACATTGCGAGATGCACCCCCAGTAAGCAGATTCTATGACATCTGCTTACTGCAGCTCGGTCATTTTCATGTGGCCGGCTGGATTTTGAACTACTGACCCACATGGCGTAGTAGCAGGTTAGCAAGTAGAGTAGGCAGAAATGACAAAATTGGAGGAATTATGGTGCAAAGGGTATTCATTCCGTGCAATTTTTGGGCAAGATACGTGTACGAAATGGAAAAACACTGGGTAAAAACACAGAAAAACATTCGACCAGTAAAAAAGGCGAGTCCCTCAAACCGATCAATAATTACTATTTTTGAGAAAGAAAACCTAGTTTTAGAAGGTCACAAAGGGTTCCCCCCACACCCTGCGTCCTCCCACAGTCTGATCAAATACTGAAATACTGCCCCTGCTAGAAAACAAAATTCAATAGAGTTAAACAATAAATATAATTAAACAATATTTATCTTCCACAAGTTCTACAAACTGGTTTGGGGACTACAATCTGCGCGGGGGGAAAAACCACATATCCAGTGCAATTATTTCTTTTGTTCCTTTACTGATGGGGGTGGAGGTGATTAGCCCAGAGCCAACATTAGAATCATGACATTGCGAGATGCACCCCCAGTAAGCAGATTTCATAAGCTCGGTCATTTTCATGTGGCTGGCTGGATTTTGAACTACTGACCCACATGGGGTAGTAGCAGGTTAGCAAGTAGAGCAGGCAGAAATGACAAAATTGGAGGAATTATGGTGCAAGGGGTATTCATTTCGTGCAATTTTTGGGCAAGATACATGTACGAAATGAAAACACTGGGTAAAAACACGGAAAAACATTCGACCAGTAAAAAAGGCGAGTCCCTCAATCTCTTAATTACTATTTTTGAGAAAGAAAACCTGGTTTTAGAAGGTCACAAAGGGTTCCCCCCCCACCCCCTGCGTCCTCCCACAATCTGACCAAATACTGAAACACTGCTCCTGCTAGAAAACAGAACTCAATATAATTAAACAATAAATGTAATTAAACAATATTTATCTTCCACAAGTTCTACAGACTGGTTGGGGGGCGACACTCTGTAGGGGAGGAAAAACCACATAACCGGTGAAGTTAACATGATTGTTTGCTGTAGTGGTGGAGGGGGAGGTGATTAGCCCAGATCCAACATTAAAATAACTTTACTGCAGCTTGGTCATTTTCATGTGGCTGGCTGGATTTTGAACTGCTGGCCCACATGGCATAGTAGCAGGCTTGCAAGTAAAGCAGGCAGAAAGGACACAAACATATACAAAAATAACTTAAGCTGAAACTTTGGATTTTCTTTTGTTTTGAGCCTGGAAGAGGCGGTCATCAGAATGGCAGGTGCAGTAAGCAGATTCAAATCGATCATGAACGAAAAAGTTGTGAGTTTCTGCTTACTGGGGGTCCTTTTCTGGATGCCTGATATATATGCATTTCTTATTTGCCGGATTTGGCCCTCGAGCGAGTGCAGTAAGCATTCAAATCTCTTCTTACTACCCGTCAATGACTATATATATATATACTCTAAACATGTAGTTTTTGACATTATTTTTGGTATGATTTCAAGGGGGGTCCCCATTTTTTAGAACCACCTGATTGTTGCATGTTGGCCACTATTGATCAATATGTTGACAAGTAAATCCATTCTAATGTTGGCGAATGGTGGTAAACACGGAGAAACAACAAGAAACATGGGTGTAAATTCAAAAAATGGGCAATGCTGCTACCGCGGCATTTTCAGGAAGGGCTTGATTCATAGATATGAAACCACACACCACCAGCCGACTTAGTACCCTCCGGTGATCAACATGGCGATGGGAAATGTTCTAATTGATGTTTCTCATTTGTAGACAATCCCATGTTTCAACATTGTTTCATCATTCTACAATCCAAACGTGGCAATTGAGAATGGTTTATTGCATGATTAGTTCGATGATTTTCCCAGCTATAGATCTCCATTTAGTTCCCATTGCTGCATTTGATTACGAGAGGGTAGCGCCCTAGTTCTTAGCCCATCCACAAAGTTATTTGGAGATGTCCAGTCCATGGGGGTACCTCCAAATCATCCAATTTTTGAGGTGATGTTCCATTATAAAATCAGAAAAACCATCAATTTCCCTCTGGTAAACTAACATGACTATGGAAAATCCACCATTTTTAATGGGAAAACTCACTATCAATGGCCATTTTCAATAGTTATTTTGACATAACCAGAGGGTTGGCCGTCAGGAAACCTCCATTTTCTGGCTCAACTGGGCTTTTGGACAGCTCCAAAGAGCGACTTGCCGACAGGGCAACGCCAAAGCAGAGACCTCGGCACTGCGTGAGATGTGGCGTGCACACCATGGGTATGACCTTCGCAACGAATGGGTGAGGTTTTAAACAATGATGGGATATAAAACTATGTATGTACATTATTTGTATAGTAGATATGGAGGTTTCCAAAGTCATGGGAGTACCCCCAAATCATGTAATGTAATAGGCAACAGGATTTTCCGTGAACAAAATCAATCTAGATATTGGGGTACCCCCATTCTAGCAAAACCACCATATAAGATATGTGAAATCAACAGGCAAATAAATAATAACAAGTTGTTGATATCCCCATTAATTAACAAAATAACCACAATGATTTGCAATGGACATTCCACCATTTATAGCAGATGTGATGTATTTCCCATTCAAACCTCCATTGATACGCCGTCTCCCATTGCCATGTTTGAACACCGGAAGGGTAGCCATAGTTTAAAGAAAAAAACAGGAACCACCCATATATCATTGGAAAAACACAAAAACATGGTTTCCTGTCGATGTTCGGTGAAAACCAATTCATTGATTCCATTGATTATCATATTTGGTGATTAAATCATATTCAATCCAGAGTTTTTACTTGGTAAAGTCCCACTAAAGCACCCTAAATCTCATTAAATCAAATCAATCCCATCAAATCCCATGAGGTCCCCTTGAATTCCCATTAAAATCCCATTAAATCCCATTAAACCACCATTTTCCTATGGTTTTCCTATGGTTTTCCTTAAGTCCCATTAAAGTGAAGCAGGCTCCCACACCAAAGCTTCGTGCGCACGCACCTGCGCAATCCATTCCTGAAAACCGAAGGCCGCCGGTAGTCGTATCAGTATATACACATGCGTGTGTGCATATGTATTGATATGTTTTTATGTATATATATAACATATATCATGCTGATATATGTATACATATGTAAATATATATATATGTGTATATATATATATATATACTGTATATATGTATGTATATGAGTTGTTTGATTTTCGCTACTCTGTTCAATCAAACCTACAGTATATAGTCACATAGGCTATAGGACAAAAGTGATTTCTATGGTTTGCTTAAAGCAACACATATATACAGGAGCCCTTGTGCTTCATGGGAAAAAAAACAATCCCACGTGCTCAATGAACCCATTTCACTTGCCCTCCACAAGGTCCAGAAATGGGTGACTTTTGGTGTGAAGGTGCAGGAGCTTCCAGATACGGCCCTCCCTGAGGACCGCCAGGTGGGAACTGCACCAGATTTACACACACTGTGATCGTTTGAAATCATCTCTCGTGAACACCGGCCCTGCGTACGTCCATCTGCAGGTGTCACACTGGGCAGCACCAGCAGCTCTCCACACCATCACGATGTTGCTACAAGATCTGCATATATATATATATGTATGTATGTATGTATAAATACATCATTATACATAAATATATATATATATATATACACAATCATATAATTATATATATATATATATATCTTGAACCAAGCCGGTTCATCATGAATTATGCCTTGGCGTAATCATGATTGTTAAAAACATGTGTATTTACCTACACGTGCGCCTTTATTTGGTGGGTGAATGTTAGTAAATATAGGCTCAGGCGGCGCCGTTCGCCCAGACTCTAACTTGAACCGGTTGAAGATCTTCAAAAAAAAATATCAAATATCATTGAAGATCTTCAATAAGGTATCAAATCCCCCTCCCCCATTTAAACCATTACACTGATGGAAGATCTTCGTCAATAAGATACGTCTATAGATTTTATCAATGGGCATTTCAGGAACCGATTTATTGGAGGTACCTACCATATATTTTTGGCCTATTTTTCAGGCCTAAATTTCAGGGAATATCCCCACAATTCATATGGCCAGAAATATAGTACTAACTTAGTAGCTCCATCTGTTGGATCCAGTAGAATTCCCCTCGATATGATCACTCTCACTGGTTTGCTTTAACGTTTTTGGTACATGTTGAGCCCATCTCAGATGTTGAACTTTGATCAGGTCATAGATTTTATAAGCCAATATAGAGATATACCAAAAAGAAATGGTGATGATCATATGTATAGATTTTCAGCTAACATCTAAAATCAATATAAATCTGGGTAAATTATCATATTTCACGCATCGGAATTTTCTAATTAAACGGCCATGGCTGGGGATGATTTCCCCCACGGCTCCTGCACATCTGCGGCCGTCTCAAAGAGGAGCCAGGCCTGGAGCTTTTGCGAAAAGAAACTCAACTGGGATGGCTGGTGGTGCAATGTGCCCATGGTTAATAGTGATTAATAGTGGTTATTAGTGGTTTAATAGTGATTAATAGTGGTTAATAGTGGTTAGTGATGTGATTAATACCTGATCTAATGAATCATATCTCTGGTTGGTGGTGCAATATGTGCCCATCTTGAAAAATGATGGAGTGAAAGTCAATGGGAAGAATGACATCCCATATATGAAATGGAAAATAAAAGCCATGTTCCAAACCACCAACCAGAATTGAAATACCTATATAGGAGCCATTTTAGAATATTTAGTTTATCAAAATAATATATTTGGTATATCAATTTAGGTATTAAATCCACGGATGTTAAAATAGCCTATTTAAGCATCAACTATGCATCGGTATTTCGTAGAGTTTGATTTATTGATTTCAGGCTATAGTGCCATGGGCGAATTTTAGATGCCATAAATGGGATTTGATGAACACTTACCTGAAATTTGCTGGATTTACCCTCTGGTAATGTCAAAATAGCTATGGAAAATCACCATTTTTAATGGGAAAATCCACTATTAATGGTCATTTTCAATAGCTACGTTAAATTACCAGAGGGTAAGCATCAACTAAAAATATGAACAGTGGAATTGTATTGGGATGTATTGGCCAAGTAAACTCATGGTTTGCTGAAGGACATTGCCGATTTAGTTCGAGGCTCGAGGGCTTCCCTGTTGTAAATTACTAGACTGCGGTCATTGGGGAAAACACATTTCTATTTTCTATGGTTGGAACAAGCAATATTTTGAAACCACCAACCAAAATGTGAAGCCACACGAGTATATACCTATATATATATATATCATATCCAAATGATTGTTATTGGTTGTTTATGGTTTCTTAGCCCATCAAACTATAGATTTATTATAAATTATAACTACAAAACCTAAGAGGTGGCCTACTTACAAACTAAGCAAAGTAGAGGCACAACAGTGTGGGGGTTTAATATGGTTTAATCATCAAACAAGCATGCACCTACCAACAATGCTGACAATTAAATATACCCTATTGTTAGGTTTGAATGTTGTCAATACCCTAAAATGTAGAGCCTTCTTGTTAGGGTGAAGACCTTTTGGGGTTATCCCTGGAATTTAATGACTGAACCACAAACGGACTGGTCATTCAAAGCCAACATGTTTTTGGATATATATCATTTTGACCCGTATGCCATAACATCAATGTGAATTGCAGCGACGTAATATCTGCCTTTTTGGAGATTGTATAGGTACTTTTGGTGGTACCCCCAGTAATTATAAGTTAATTTATAACCCTAAAATTACAACTATAGTTATTACCATAGCTTATAAACCCCATTTTGTCAATGTAGCTACCAACGCTGTCCGTCCGGGGCTCGCCACATAGAGACGTTGCAAGGGAGGCAGCGCGGCAGAGCCCAAAGAGGTCGCCTGGTTTTGCGGTAATTGGTGACTGGTGAATTAGTAACCTTTTCTCTGTTAATTGGTTAAATTAAAACCAGAGATTAGGTGACTCTGGTGACTGGGATAAAGTAATTGGTAACTTTAAGGTTAATTGGTAACTAATTAGTAATTGTTTCACTGTCAATAAGATTAGTTCCCACACTTAACTAATTAGCAACCAGATTGGTTAGACCTGCTAACCAATGTCTCTGCTCATAAGATGGTAGTTTCCCCAGTTTAATTGGTGACTATAGGTTCCAAGTATTTCCAAGTCATACTTGGACTAATTGGTTAGTTGCCCCAGTTACCTCTCTGGTAATACCTGGTACTCAGCTCTATGACTTGCTGGAAATTTCCCCCCAGCAGTTTGATGACGGAGGGTACCCGGAAATTCAAAGCATCTGTGGCGAATCTGCCGGGGTATCACCTAGAAGAGAGTTTTGTGGATCTTGAAAGGGAATTTGCAGTTGGCTAGTTTTATTGGGGGGGAAACAGTTGAAAGGGAATTGACCGGACATGCTCAAACCACAATCGGATCGCTTTTCTAAACCGCTTGAGACCGTGCAAAAATTGGGCTGAAAGGATCCCACGAGTTCCGGGACAACTCTAATCAGCCCTGGCTCGATTGTAGGTTCCTAGTTTTTGGTAAAACATCCTTCTTTCCATTGGTCATACCTTAATTTCTTTGCTACTAAACACCGGAGTCACAGCAACATTTGGATCTGGTTCCCCTGTAACTCCCCAAGAGTGTTAGGAATCCGCTCACACCATATTTTCGGCCATTGTTCCTGGGTGGTGCTGGCACTCCGCTCCGCCATGCTCCGCCTTCCTCACACACTCGCACAAGGCCTTGACCGCCTGACCAACTCAGATCTGGTGGCTGACCCATCCGATCAAAGAGCATCAGTGTCCGGGTTGAACACCAAAAACGTTGCAAACCAAACCAGTGAGAGTGATCATAGGCAAACGAAACAACCAATACGTTTGAAACAACATATAGGGTTGAAACCGATCATGAAATGGTCGCTGAGACGATCATCCCAAAGATTGGGGTTAAACATGAATATATATATATACATATATATATATATTATGACATATATATATATATATGTGACTATATAACTATAATATATATGTATATATATATATATTATATTTACGTATTATATTATATATATGTGGATCCCAAATGAGTCTTGTTTTCAAGGTTTTGATCCATAAAATAGAGGCTTCATCATCCAAAAGAGGGGTCATTTGGGTTCCAGGTATATATATATATATACTGTATATATATATATATACACATTTGAAACCGCAAGTCATGTACATTCACACCCAATATCCCACTTGTTGTCGGCATATCCCCACTTTCGGTGGTTGAGTAGAATTTGTCTGGATTCCCGGCGGTTAAACTCCCACTATTCAATATTTGAATATACGTATTTAATACTTTCCAATTGCACATTGAATGGTTGATTTAACCCCCAAGATCCATGAACACATAGAGCATAATATAAATCAACCAATGTGCAATTGGACAGTTGGGTTAAATTAACCATTAATATCTACCATAGACATCCATAGACCATAGACTTCACCCACCGGCACCGGAAGGGATGGCTTTCCACCATTGATGGCACGCCTGCAAGAGATGCGTAAAAACATTGAAAAAAAACACATGAGAATCAGCAACAAACATGGATTTAACAATCAAAAATTGTGGGGGAAATGAGTTTGAACCATCAGCAATTGTGAGTTAAATAGGGATTCAACCATCCAAAATGGTCAGGAAATTGTTTTTTTCCCATGAACGATGGTGATTTCACTTATTTGACTATGAAAACTTATGCGATTTAACCTTTGTTGACCAATGAACGGTAAATTTGGGTGTGCCTGAAAAGAAGGTCTCGCCCCAATCCCCAAATTGCCATGGGGTTCTCTGGGGTCCTATGCATGTATCCATGGATGGATGTATACGGATGTATACGGATGTATACGGTATCTGATTGGTGGTTGACCAACCTACCCCTCTGAAAAAAATGACTTCGTCAGTTGGGATGATGACATTCCCAACTGAATGGAAAAAATACAGTTCATGTTCCAAACCACCAACCAGGTATATACTGGATATGAATGGTTATGACCCACTGTTTTCATCTGTTTTCTTTCCGCCGGATCAGCATCAGGCCAAAATTATCTAATTATTTGCTGGGGGTTCAATCCCAATCAATGGCGACCTGTCTCTTCATGTCCGGAAGTTCATTTGAAGTTTCACATGGCTTTGGCCCAGCCGAACTTGGATTTGCTTAACCCCTGTCACAGACTGGAACATATGCTCAGTCGTTTTTGATTCGTAGATTGCCGGGGAAGTTTGCAGCAAATCCAAGAGATGTCTGGATCATCCCATGAAAAACCTCCATTTATAGTAGACTTTCCCATGATTTTCCCATGGTCTTGCCATGATTTTCCCAGGGTTTTGCCATGATTTTCCCATGGTTTTCCCATTGAAAGCACCATCCGGGACACGTATGTTTTTTTATCTCCCCACACAGGGCTCGATCGAGGCAGCCGCAGGCACTGAGGGACATGAGTTCAGGCGTGGAATGGCGACATTGGTATGGCTGAGGAATCGAACAGTAGAGAGGAACTGGAAATTTGGCGAATTATACCTCATGTGTGTGAAAAAACATGAAAGCAATATATGTAAGATGAAAGATGGAAATGGATTGACATGGATGGATATGGGTTCGTCCGACAATAGAGGATAACCAACAATGTCAATTTTGATCGGGTAAATGATGATCAACAAATATCAACTGGATCTTATCGGGGTACCCTATTGATACGAGTTCCCTATTTTCAGACACACTCCGGTTGTCATGTCTCCTCTTTGTGGCAAAGAAGAACCGTCAAATGGCAGGGCACCCACTACGAATTTGATCGCCAAAGTTTTTTGATGGTCTCTCATTGGGTGCTAGTGGGATATCATCCCAAGATATTTGCTCACACACCCGAGAATACTTATATAATACATATATATATATATTATATATATATGGCTATGAATCAAAATTGTGTATGGAACGTTCCGCGCTGTTCCGGACGTATGGAACGAAGGGGTTTCGTAACTGGTCTTGTTCCGGACCTTTGGAATGTGATGAAATATAAGCTGTACGTAAGTATAAATATATGTGTATGCTGTATATATGTATAATATATGTAAATAATATACATCTCAAGGATATGCGCGTTGAAGCTACTACCGCTGGCTGCCGCTCATTTTCACTTGTCATCTGCGCGGCATCCTTGTTGTACACCTGTTCAACGCAGGTTTGCCTTGCATGGCTAGTGCTCGTGCACTAGATAGGACATAACCGGTCGCCAGCCTCATCCACTGGCTACTATGTGAAGCTGTCCACTCAGCTTCAGACCTGTCACGCAGGTCCCATAAAACTCAGAGGTCCCGGTCCCTATGGGGTAGATTGTGTCCCCACGTAGCAAGACTCTAGGCTCCCAAAACCCACGCGCAAAGGATGGCTTAGGAGCAGTCTATGTGAGAACCTGCCATTTGTTCACCCGGAAGTGGGTCAGGGATGGTACATGGGTGGTCCCGGCCTGGAACGGGTATGGAACGGTATGGAACGGGGTCTGGAACGAAACGGGGCCGACTCCAGCACAGCTCTGCCACCATGCAGCACATCTTTATCAAAATTGGCAGTTTGGAGCGAGAGTAGCGCAGCAAGCAATTCTTAGACTGCCAGCTGGCAACAGCCAAGCGCATCTCTACCATCAAACATCACAGCTGTGCCACAGCGGGCAGCAACTGTAAGTGGTGCAGGCGCAACCCTGCCACAGGTTGAGAGGGAGGGAGGGTTACAAGCAATCCATTCTTAGACTGCCAGCTGACAACAGCCAAGCACATCCCTACCATCACACAACAAACGCTGCAGGCACAGACTTGCCAACACAATCACAGGGCTTGGGCATAGTAAACCTATTCTTGCATGTACACACTCATGTATGTATGTGCGCTCAAGTATGCGCGTACAAATGTAAAATCAGACTGCACATATTCAGGTGTATATATATATATATAAATATATATATAAATATATATATATAAATATATATATATAAATATATATATATAAATACATATATATATATATCATAACGTATGGATCAGAGGTATGGAACAGAGGTATGGAACGGATCCTTCAAGGAGGTATGGAACGGGGGTATGGAACGGGGGTATGGAACGGGGGTATGGAACGGGTGTGGTCCCGGAGCTTGTTCCGGACCTCCTATTTTGACTTGCACCCATATATATATATATGTGACTCAACTGATGGTTTCAACCCATTCCCATCATTCTCCCCTTGTTCTCCCACCAAAAATAAAAGGGGCGATCCATGACGATCCAAAACTCATGTCGCTCCCAGGCCGGCGGTTTCGAAACCGCCGAAAACCACGGATCCAATGGATCAAATGGATCAAATCCAAGCGAGGTCTGTCGTTTACCCAACCATGACGGATATGTACCGTGTGTATGGACATTCCCATATGCTCCATTTATATACTATAATATACTATATATATATATATATTACATTATATTACCGTGATTTGTATAATAAATATAATAAATATACATCATATTTACATTTATATATATATAGACATTCCCATATGCTCCATGTATGGAATATTTACCAACATTTGCTCTAAAAATCACCGAAATGTAGGTAAATATACCATACGTGGAACATATGGGATAATAGACATAAACTGTAGATCATATACACTACAAACATGGACTTGAAGAACATAGCCAAACATAAATGGAATTGTTCAATTGATCCCTACCCCCAATATCAAATTCTCCTATCATGACCCCCAAACATGATTGAATCCAAGACCAAAACATAGGTTCTCGCGGGCTGCTTAACAGTGTAAAAGGAAAATTGAGCATCAATTTGAGACAGTCTTCAGACTTGAATCTAAGAACCAAGGAACAAACGCGCATAATGGAAAAAATGTCAGGACACCTGATTCTCATGTTACATGTTAGGGCTGGTCAGCAAACAATCTTTTGAGTGCTCAGACCTTCTCAGAACTAGCTAACTACATCCCACAATGCTGTAAGTACATGGTGCGAGCTTTGAAAACTTCTGTTGCTTGACATCGACGATACAAAAGAGCTGATGGTTCTCCAAAGCCTGTGGCCGGCAGGTTTCGGAGTCTGTGCAGGGTGGCAAACATGTCAAAATAGAAACCGGATCCTTAGTGAAAAAAAACTGAGCAAATGCCGCCCAAACTAAACGATACAGGGAGATCACCATGTATATTCAGCTCGTTATCTAGTTGCAATGATGTGACGTCGCCTGCACCGTCTGTATCAGTCAGTGGGAGGTTAAAAATAGATGAGTTCCAAGCTGCTGACTCAGCACATGTGTCTCAACTTTACTTGAAAGGAACGTGGATCTGTCTGATTGTTTTTGACTATAACAAATTAGGATTCACCAGCATGAAATTGTATTTTAGTAGGGAAAATGATGATCGTGACACATCAAATGTTGACTATTTGTATCCATAAATGTCCAATCAAACCCAGCGGTGTCACAGAGGTGCTCTCTACATACCTGGAGACATACGAAAACTTTGGAGTTTGAGACACAGGGTTCCCCAGCACCTCGGGGTGAATGAAAGAATTTAGCGGCTCTCACCGAATCTTTTGCAACGTCGCCCTGACCTGCGCATGGGGGGAACTGACTGTGGATCATCGAGTTTTTGTGCCCCGAACATATCAATAACTTTAAATAACTAACTATGAAAAGGGGTCAGGAAGCCGGATCAGAAATTTGTCATAGAATAAAGACATCTGTGGCAGCAAGAGTGAATGGTTGGAGGTTGACATACCCATCATTGGTGGTGCCCTCCTGTAAACTAACATAGATGTGGAAAACCCAGCATCTGTAGATTGTGTCCCAAAGAGAAACCATAGTTGATGATAATGAATTCCAGTAGGCGTTTCCAATCTGCTTCCATTCACAGCGGAGCTTCGTTCAGTTGATCTTAGCGTAGTTCCAGGACGTCAAGGAGAAACCATAGTTTTCCACATCTATGTTTAGTTTACCCCAAGGTAAAAGCAGCAATTTTTGCTGGTTAAACGTGGACCTCCTGGCAAACTCGTTCGCAGCGTTCTGCTTCGTTGATGGATACGGCCTGGCAGGGGTTGGCTAAGAACGGGGTTCTCATAATGGATCATGTCAATTGCCAATATACCCTCTGCTAATTTCACATAGCTATTGAAAATGGCCCATTTAGTTCGTTGATTTACCTATTTAACATACAACAGAGGGTAAATGGGATAATAATCACAAGATAATTCCATGGGATTCCCAGTTCGCGGATGATGATAATCCCATATAATCCCTAATATACTGTACAATCACAGGGTAGTATCAATGGAATGGTTTAGGGGAACATTTACAGGAAAACCCCATATTTAATGGTAAAAACCATGGTTTCCTGTAAAGTTTCCCTGAACGAATTATCAACCAATAGGGCTTTTGAACACTGCTCCAGTGAAGGATTTAAGCATTTTAAGCAGGAGAATTGGGAATAATGACAACAAGTAATTGA